GGTCCCTGGCTTTCTATGTGGCAAGCGCAGAAAGGTCGCTTCTGCGAGCACTGGGGAAACCTCAGTCAAGGACTATTACAGCACCGCTTAACCCAAAAACATACGTAGGTCCCGTAACAGGATGAGTAAATTTTGGTCACAGTATGATGAACGGTCGTCGCAATACCGATTTTATAGAACAAGTTTTTTCTAAGGACACTGACCCTTCGGCCATAAAAAGCCGCTACTAATATATCAACTTCAAGGCGTACGCGACAGTTTTATAAAAAAACAAGAAATATGGTCTGTGGAACAAAATTGGGCACATTCTTATTTCATAGGAAAGCGATAAGCTTATCGCCTAGCCAATTCTTCAAGTTTGTGAAGAGAAAATAGGCGGATGTTGCGTTTTAAAGGTCTTCAAAATTCAAGAGATTAACGTCTGCTTTCAATGCCTGTCAACACAAACTAAATGACGCACTAAGAGATGTTTCAATGTTACATTTAAAGTTACTAAACGGTAAATTCAAAAAGTCACTGACCTATCAAATTGCCCTCGTAGCTTCAATTCGTACGAAAATATGAATACAGGGCGTTTTTTTTTATTGTATTTGTTAGTATTATTTTTAATTTTGGAGTACATTTTTATTTTATTTTATTTTTTACATATTTTATTTATTTGTTTTTTTTTTTTTAATTTAATTCGACTTTATTAATTTTCTTTTATTTAATTTCATTGTATTTAATTTCATTTATTTTTATATTCTTTTATTTTATAAAATAAAAATCACACTTACACTTTTCCCAGTGCTTGGCCGAGCTACTCCGATTTCACTGTTGTACAAATTTTTTATATTTATTTTTTTGTTTTGAACCAGTGATATATAGCCTGCCTGAGGTTCTGCAATTCACTTCCAAGGTAATTTCAACCCCTTTCAATATCAATTCGAAGTGGCTGTAGGGAAATTCACTTGGAAGTGAAGTGCAGAACCTGCCCGAGATCTATTCTTTCTCGTAGATTTCTCCACGCTGACATTTTTGTGGCTGTGTAGCATAAAAAATAGTTTTTTTTCACAGAAAACTAGTCTAATTATCGTACAAAAATAAATATTTTCCGTTGAGTTTGCCCAAATATCTTTTTTTTTACCGAGATATTACGTTTTGAAATTGTAATGGAAAATGTTTGGTTGAAAGGATTAGTGGGTTTTCGGATATATAAATATTAAAATTTCAAACTGCGATATCTCGGCGAAAAATTATACTTAAGACTATTTTTCTGTGTAAGAAATTAATTGCGATGCTACTTAACCTCAAATACATATGTATATCAAACAGCGGTGTTTTTATTGCACTTTTAGGCTATGATATCTTAAAAGCCTGACGTGTTAGCGAAATTCTGAGCGTGGAATCGGGTTCAGCAGAAATCAACTCGGAGGTTTACCATTGCCTGTCGAGGGGCGACCGCTGTTAGAAAAAACTGTTTCTAATTTGTGACTTTGCTCGGGCCAGGGATCGAACCCTGGACCTGCGGAGTGGTAGTGTGCAACTCTAATCACTCTCCCATTTTATTAATTTTGATTAATTTTTTAATTTAATTTTACTTTAGTCTATTTTTATTTTTTAAACTATTTTTTATTTTTTCCATTCCATATTATTTTATTCTATTTTATTTTTGATTTATTTTATTAATATCTATTACTAAGCTTCTTTGTAAAATTTCAATTTGCTTGGGAAATCTACATTGTCAGTGTTCTTTAAAAACAGGTTTGTTATCAAAAAAGATATATTTCATCGTGTCGTTATTAGTATAGCTACTGTTTTGTTTATTTACATATATTCATACACATATGTACATATATCTATGTATGTCTGTACATGCATGATTCTTGTTATTTGAAACAGCCCACCATGCAACTCATGAGAAATAGGCAACTATCGTCAATGGCAACAAATTGGCGGCTCGCCGATTCTCCAAAGGCATCCAATTTATGCCAAAGATAGGACTGCAAATCATAGGTAGCGCCAAAAAAAGTAATGAAATATTAAAAAGAATAAAATTTGTTCAACTAATTATTGTTCAAATATCGGCCGTAGCAATAATAAAACGACCCATTCAGGGGGACGTTTTAAAGCGACCGGTAATAAGAAAGCGATACGATGGCGATATTAACGGCAATAAATTTGTCACCGAGGGCGATACGTTTTCTTATTGCCGGCAACGGAAATTGTCTGGTGGGAGTATATAAAATCCCTGCAGGAAATGTTCATCTAATAAAAAATGTACCAACAAGACTCCTACACGCAACTATGCACCCTGTGAGTACCAAAGTTACCTACCGCAATGACATTACCGATAACCACGGTGTCCACTTGTTCACCACGCAAACCGGCTGCATCCAGGGCAGCTTTGGCAGCGACTGTCTGTAGCTGTGTCTGATGAATGTTCTTCAAAGCACCGCCGAATGTACCAAAAGCAGTACGCTTAGCAGCAACGATGTATATTCCTGAAAATAATTATAATAAGTCTTACAAGTACACGTGTTCTTATTATATACATATATTTTTTTTCTGACAGCCACGTTCAAAGTTCAAATCTCGCAGAGATAAACAAAAAAGTTATTTCAATTCCAACAAATGAACTTGTTGAGGTGAATGTTACACATAAATAATTATGAATTTACGTAAAAATGATCATGCATGTATATACATACATATGTATGTACATATGTACCGACTGTTATCTGCAATGCATATGTAGTACATACAAACATACATATGTGCATACATATATACAACACACTGAGTCTCTAAGCCGTTGACTTGTGATTTCTTGAGTCCAAAGTACAAGCTTTAAATTTATCAAAACAAATGTACCGGCCCCCGGGTATGTACATATGTATGTACATTAGGGTGTTTTAAAAATATCTGCGTAGAGAAAAAAGTTTAAAATGTTAAGCTCTCACCCCTAGGATTCTTCTAAATGGAAAAAA